CACTCATGTGGTGCGGCAAAATGATTTTATCACTGGCTGCAGCCGGTGTCAGCCCCAGTGAGGGAGCCGCTTTGTGAAGTGCAGCAATGTATATGGATATATAGAACGGGGGCTGACATTGTGTACAATTTGATGTTCACATGAGATCTCAGCGAGAGCGCTGTCATAATTCTATATGAACTCTCACAAGCGGGACAAATGCGGACTGTGTACATTAGAAGCTGAATACTGCTGTGGATGTGCTGATCTAGGCTATCATGATAACATGGATGTGTACATACTGTACGTGATGTGCTCATTTGATTACATTCAGAAAGAAGAAGAAAGGACTTTCTGGGTATGGACTTAATTGGGTCAGTGTTTTTACATACCGTCAAGGCTTAGGAAGTTGCAACTTGAGTTAATATTCTCAGTCTGTTCAGTCCCAGAGGAATCCTTCCAATTCAATTCATGTATTTTTATTTACAACTTCATGAGTTGGTTGTGTGTTGTTAGTGTATATCGGTATGTGTCTTTTTGTATTTGACAACGTTGTCAAAACCATATTTATCCGGGGCGGGATTTGGTTGCGGTGTCATATTTAACTTTTGTAGTATCAGTAAAGGTATTTTTTGGTATGAATTGCCACGAGCACCCTTGGTCTGGAAAGTAACTGCTTTTCCCATTTTGTCCTTTGCACAAAAATACTCTTTTTTAGTTTGGTACTTGTGTGTTGCTGACTGAGGTAGTTGCAGCGAGGTATTTGAATAGAAGAATAATGGGATTCCCACGTATTTGCTTTTTTATTAATTATCAGAGCGTGCATAGCCCACCTGAGCGTCCAAATAGCCCACCCGAGACATTGCATAGCTCACCCGAGACACCACATAGCCCATCCCAGACACTGCATAACCCACCTGGTGAGAGCCCACACAGGCCACCTGAGAGCCCGCACAGCTTTGTTGAGAGTCCGCACGGGCCACCTGAAAGCCCGCACAAGCCACCTGAGAGCCCACACATCCCATCTGAGAGCCTGCACATCCTCCTAAGAGCCTGCACAGCCCACCTGAGAGCCTGCAGATGTGCTCCCTGCCAAAAAGGCTGGTTATAGATTCATGCAGGTACCATTTTTTCTAGTTTGACTATTTTTGGCTGTGGGGACGCACTGGGGTCCCAGCGTGCATTCTAGATTGCTGTGCCCCCAGTGCGTCCCAGCCCCTTATTAGGAGGAGTTGGCTACCTCCAGGTACACCTGCATGCAATTTATCGACTGCATTAATATGCTCACACTTGGAGGCTCGTACACATAGAGTTAGGACCACTCTTTGCCGAGGTGCCTTGGCGCGGCGGTGTGGCTTCTACATATTTTTGGCCAAAAGTTTGTGCAACTAAAACCTCTGATTTCAACCCATACTGTTGACAGGGCAATTTGTTTGGTTGCAGGCTAGCTGGGGATTTTTTGTATTCCACCTGAGAGTCCGTACAGCCCTGGTGGGAGCCCGCACAGCCCACCTGAAACACTGGAGACATCAGGGTACCACCCTGGAACAACACAGAGTATATAGCTTCATGTTAGTTTGGATTGCTGTATAATGTATTGCTGGGATTTGTAATCCTCTATAGACAGTCTCCTTACTCCCTCCCCTTGCTGCCTCTCCTCGATCTCTCCGCAATATTCTCCAAAACAAAAATTGCAGTGTGTGGCGCTAAAGAAAAGGTGGCAACCCTAATAACCATAGTCATAACAGATCACATGGCTGCTATGGGGCCCAGGAGGGTGGAAGGGGGCCCCATGAGAGGGAGCTTTTTAGGTATTTTAAACATAGAAAATCAGTGTGTATGGGAAGGTAGCAGAAATCCAGTATTGTCTTATGGAGGCTTGCAGGATTTTTTGTTGTTGTCACTGGACCTGTACGCCGTACTCCCCCCC